GCGAAACTCGTAAAAGATTTTTTTCGACGTTTTATCGACTTGTAATAATCAATTCGCGAAGCTAAGTTATAAGTTGGCGATGAATTAAAAATAGTTTAAAATCAGCGCTTTGTACTATTTTAATCGACGCAGACGGTCGTGAAGTTCTCGGAGTTCTTGCAAATAATTAAAAATTTAGTTGAATAAGGAAACAGTGTTTCAAAGTTGCTACGAATGAGAAGCTTGCGCTTGAAAATGTTTCCCTTGTTTCTTAATAACACCAGTAGTAGAGACATTTATTTCTTTAAGCTTTGTGTAAGTTCATTAAAAGTTGGTTTTCTCTAAAACAGAATTTAAAATATTTGAACCAATAATTGTGACATGTTTCTGACCAAGCAAGGAAACGTTTTTAACGGTTGTACAGACATGAAATAAGAGATAAGATAATTTTGGCAGCATTGATAAAGCTTCCGCAAACAAATATTAAATGTAGGTACAATTTGATAATATTGTAACGGAAATAAATTCTATAACAAGTCAAGTTATGAAAACTTAGACAGAACTAAGGAAAAAGTTTAAACCGTCTTCAAATAATGGGAAGGGAAACTTCAAACTAACAAGTTCATAAAGCCAGCAACACAGCTTTAATGTTACCAGCACAATTTTATTTTTTTTTTTTTTTGGTACTCTATATTTTCTTAAAGAACTAACCGCGATAGCAGCGTCCCTCTTACTAGTTAATACAAGTAAGCTTATCCGGACCACATTTATTTTGGATTTATTGAATACTAGAATTTTGAAGCGAAAACTTTTTAGATATCAACTAACATTGAATTTCGCCCAACAACGGTGACCTTAAGTATTATATTAATGGCCTTAACTGTTACTTTTTTAGTCACTCATTCACAAAGAAATAGGCGAACGCTTCACTGACGTCTGCGATAGAAAGCATCCATCGATGCGTGAGCATGTTTCGCGCCCTGTGCGCCAGCGACCATCTTTTGGATACCAAATAACGCTACCATACACGCTGCCATCGTAGAAAGGAATGGAAAATGTGGCGCCTGGCGGTGTGATAGAGAGGACGGATTGGAATGGTCGCGGAATGCGGGGCACTTAATTTTTCTAACGGACTTCGGGTCGAAAAGCGCGCGTCGTCGGCTGCGAGGGCCATGTGGGAGGTTGTGTAGTGGGGAGCCATAGGGGCGAGGAAGGGGGCGGGGATGGAGGGGGAGGCATCGGCTGTAGTACGACGGACCGCGCTTCTCGTAAAGGAAGCGACCCTGACGCGGTCATTGCTCGCCGCGGCCGCATTCCTCTCCCTCGGTCCCCCGGCCCCTCGGCGCCTGCCGCCTGCGCATCAATGAACGGCGCGCGCGCACAACTGCCGTGCCGTGTCGCCTCGCCTCGCCCTGTCTCCTTCCCGCCTCAATCCGCTTAATCCCCTTCCTGCCCTCGTGATGCACACTTTATCTGCATGTCAGTCGTGCATAAATACAAATCGCCATTGATGAGCCACGACTTTCATTCGTCTCAACATCAACAGACTAGTTCGTTGACTTGATTGCTTAGACAATTTGATGATTATTGTGTTATAGCAAAAGATAAGCTCGTTCGTGTATCTGCAATAAAATCAGTTATGTAACTAACGTTATCTGTTCGTCAGTCTAGAGGTGAAAGTTGTGTTATTAATAATTCTGTGCTTCATTTAGTTCGGAGTAGAGTTACGCTTTAACTTATTTACTCGCTGAATTTCAAATAAGCGCAACTGAGTCCTGTGTTGCCCAAATTTATCGCATTTAATTTAAACAATCACATTTTGAGACAAAATACCAAGATAAATTAAGTAACTACAATACGGAAATACAACTTCATTAATTAGTAAAGATTCAGAGAGAAGAAACTAAAACAATAACATGAAACGAAGCAACTACCTAATTGCATTAAAGTCGCGTCATCTGAGTATAGAGGGAAAGCGATAATGGTTTACGTTGATCATCGAAAGCGTACAACGTTGTTGTGGAACGGCTTCCAGCTTCGCGGTGCAAGACGCGGTCAATGCACGGCAAACTGCCGGACTTACAGGTTGGACATGGGGCAATGGAATCCGCGCCCGACAAAAAAGCAACGCGCACCGTCGACTCCACGGCCAAGTGCGAGCCGACTGCTAAACGGGATAACATCGCCCCATCCTTTCTATACTGCTACATCTACTTAACATCAACACAATACTTCGCACTTTTTTAATACTCGAGAAAGGTTCGCCAAAAAAACTATTATTGTTGGAGACCAAGGTTCACTTTGGATATATACGTCATCTATCATTGGATCTTACAATATCATTGAAATTGTCATGTTGACTCCATTATAATTCTTAGATGTGTTTCTGAAGTGTGGGAGAACGTTAAAAAAGAGATTAGTGTACTTTTTTCAATCATAACATTTTTGATGTAGACAAGGGGCAATGAAAAAATACTTGAAACGTGGTGTGATTTTTCAAAGACTTACAAGTTTATCGTTTTACTATTTATAAAACTTTAATTTTATATATTTTAACTATAGTCAATACTAGTGGTCGCACATGACTCCGATCCACCCGTAATTAAAAAAAATAATAAAAGCCTGGAAGATTCTCCAGATTATATCAACACATCTGTCTCAAATTTCATCGCTATTATGGAGATAACTAAGTAGTTAAAACATCCATCCATCGATCGAAATCTTAACTCATGATCTAAAGATCTGAATAGTTAGGTAATGAAAATCCATGGTGGACTAAAATATGTATTATCTACATTTTTTGTTTTAAAACATGTGTCTTGTTTTAAAAGTTCCTACACATATGTTAACTACCTATTGTTAAGAAAATACAAATGAATTACGAATCAGAAAAGTTTAAACATTGCTTACGTTGAGATTCAACAAAAAATTCTTGGCGAAAACAACTAAAAACACCGAGAAACTTTTGAGGCCGCTCGTAAAATTTTTAAAATAGAACGTATACATACGTAACATTGACCTTCACTCTGATATTAGTCAAATCAAATCAAATTTAAAACATTTATTCCCTCGAGAATATACGATTTGGTGCCTTAACATAAATGTGCAGATGGGCACTTTAAGATAACTACATTATTCTAATTTATACTCCGAATTTTTCAAACATGAACATTTGTTTGAATGTTTTGTTCCTAAATAATGAAAAATAGGTATTTTAATACATGTTAAGGGCCGCTATTCACGAACAGATTTAAGCTATTTTTGTCGTAAAAACATGAAGCCAGCAGCTCCGTCTGCTTGAAAAAATTCATTTACGGCTTCTAGTTTTTGAACCCTAAAGGTTTTAAGAACATTCCAAGAAACATGTTTCTTTAGTCTTGAAGGAAAAAGAAACTAAAAACGCGAAAATACTGAACCTATCATACTAATATTATAAATGCAAATGTTTAGATGTATGGATATTTGTTAGAGTTTGTTGCCTAAAAAAAATTGGTAGAAATGTAGAGCATGACCTGGAGGAACATATAGGTACTTGTTTCTTTAATACCCCGGGGACGGAGTCGCGGGCAAAAGCTTTCCAATAAAATAATGTAAAAGTTAAAATAAATGTTACTTCATTATCATGTTGAATTTTTAAACAAAAAAAAATACAAAATGTTTCCTCTTTCTTTAAAAAATGTGCTTCTAGTTTACAGGCCGCGCGAACATCCGTCGTGAAAGAAAAACCCTCCTGAATCTCAGAACTTTTCCACTGGTATTTACAAAATAGCACCACTTTTTAGCCCACTGGGTGAAAGACTCGCTTAAGAAGCTCTCCAGACTTTAGAGCTTTGAAATTTTTTAAGAAATGCAATTTTAAAACTCTAATTTTTAGTATAGTTATCTGTTTGTAGATACAAAAATTCGATTAACAATTTTGTCGATTTATCGCAATATATTAACTACATTACGATTCACTCACGTGCACACTTAATTGAAAACTCAATGCAATTAATTCTACTGAATAATCCTACATCATTGGCTTGGTCCTGAATATATACATTACAGGTAAATTCGAACGAAATACATATATCGATAGTCAGATACTCAAATTTTGTCTTTGTTCAATTTTAAATGTACCCTAGGAGTTAAAACTTAATCCCCGCATGTTAAAGATGTCTTAAAGTACATTTGATTATTATCATTTTACGTTTGTAATATTTATATTTATACAAATTAACGGAGTTCACGACAAATGCATTTCGCATTGATCCGATTGTCGGCAATAAAGACATCGCCAAGACTTAAGTGTGTGTATTGAGAATCGCTTCACGACAATGGGACAATAGTTCGATTGCGGTCTCGATTCTATCAGTAATGGGTGAGCGGCCTTCTGCACTCATTAAACATTTACTCTCTGCTTTGGAATTACGAGTATTTGCAACTTGATAATACATAGAATGCGGATTCTATGTAAAAAATGTGACTATGGTTCTTCAAGATGGGTGACAAGGGGTTTATTCACATGTGTAATGTACATGATATATCCGATTTATGGTGTCTACAAAATAAAATCTAAAACAAGCGATACCCTAGTTAGAGATTTAACGATGACAGAAATAAGTTTTAGAATTAAATTTTTTTATTGAATTACATGCTACTTTTGGCCCAAACCATTTCATAAAGCAACTTTACATGCGTTTTGTTATCGGAGAAAAAGTGAACAAAATACGCATCGCTTAAAATAATTATTAATGAAGACATTAACACGTCAAAATTCAATACTATGTTGAGTGTTTTTTAAATTAGCAAATGAAAATACGTAAATATTATGTGAGTAAATAAAAAAGAAAAAAGTGTGTCAGTTGATCTCTATCATCGGCTGGTTCAAAAAATCTTATTCAAATCTCTTATTTAAAAGTTGCCTCAGTAAAGCAATTCCATTATGTAAATAAACCGTTAAAAAGTATTTGTATTAAAAATAGAAATACTGGAATATTTTCAAACATCCTTTCAACATCGAGAAGGCTACGGGACTGTGGTCTTTGGTTTTTTTGTTTTGTACGTTCAATTGCATCACTTTGCGGGAAGCTTGCGGTCGGAAGTTTGAAATATTATAGATGGAAAATGGAAATGCTTTTATTGAATTGCTATTTACAAAAGAAAAGGTATACAAACAATGTAAGTAAGAAATCTGTTTTCATTTGACAGGAAATGATAAATTATAAATTAAGTTACTGACTAAGGAAGTTTCAATACGTTTTTGTACTAGTAAAAAATCTCAAAAGAGGTTTATTAGTTGTACGGAAAAATTAACTCCACGATGATAGCCAAAATTTCTTTTATTTCATACTTCCTAAAGGAACTTAGTTAACAATTCGACTGTATTTTTGTCTGTCTCTGTTCCCTTGAACTTTATTTAAAATTACAGTAAATATAAAAATTTTCCAATCGACGTCTGCGTCTAATTGTTAGGAGAATATAAAAACGGTTGTTATTTAAGATTTCACTGGAAAATGCCATTTTCCCGCTTTGACTTAAACCGTGATTCTCTAAGAGGCTTACGAGACAATTGAAAATATCTGTGCAGTCTAAAGACAACCACAGGGGAATAAGTCGTCCATTTTTTTTTATACAAGTCTTTTACAGCTTGCAATATTGAATTTTCTTCTTCTTAAGATCAAAGAAACTAAGGTTAATATAAACTAGCCTAGAATGACACTAAAACAGTGAAATCGGTCTCACTTAAAATCCTATATGGTATTTAATTTATATCTACACTAATATGCGCGTAAAAGAACACTAATTTATTATGTAAGACGAGCTGTCGCCCGTTTCGGAGATTACCCGAAACAAATGCGGCTTGCGAACAGACAGGCAGAGAGGCAAAAAAAATTAAATGCGATTTTTAGCAACGCAAATACTGCATCTTCCCGAAATCTGTAATTTGTCTTTTGATCTTACAAACAGACTTCAATTTAATTTCATGTATAGATAGATAGAGTATAGGTAGATATATATAGATCACAGTATATTTTTAATAAGAGCTACATTTACATATGCTGTCTATTTTCATGCTATTTAATTTATGGGGTGACTGATTTAGGCCATCGTTGTCATTTGTGCATTTGAATTTTAACATTTGCAATTGAAATTTTACAAAAGTAAACAATAAAATAAAGTTTTTTATAATTTCATGCGGGTGAAGCCGCACAGGAACAGCTACTTATGTAACTTAATATTAACAGTAGCAGTAACTGGATAATCAGTTGTAACAGCCGATAACATTCAATATTCAAACACTCTGGGAATCAAACCGGATTACAATAAAAGGTTGACATAGTACTACCACTTCGACTTAGGCACAGTTGCAATTAGGTACGAGCTCTTCTACGAATATAGTAATCTTCTATCTATGAATATCTATATATATTGGAGTGTCTGTTTGTAATATCAAAAGAAAAAATTCAGATTCCGGGAAGATAATAACTAAAATCCCATTTAAAAATTTTCTGTCTGTCTGTCGGTCTGCAAGCCGCGTCTGGTTCGGGTAGGCTCCGAATCGAAAGGCTGGGCTGATTTCGAAAGGACTTTCATATTATAGCGGATGCTTTTTTATCTTAATATTGCGTGGACGAAGTCGCGGGAAATAGGTAGTATTCTATAATATTTTTTAAGGTAACCGTAATATTTGTCTGTCATTGATATATTTAGAAACTGGATATTCTATTTTGTTTTTACTGATAAAAAGATATTTGAATTTTAAATCGTAATGTTGAATGTTTAAAATAATTTGAAAATATTCATAGATCGTGGTTGCTAGTAGCAATGCTATAGTACCTACTACAGTCTTGCTACTTCTCGTATATGCTAATGTTTTATGTGTTGATTTTTTAATAAATTAAAAACAAAAGGTGATAACGAAACGTTACCTAAAATTCATGTTAATCTAAATGATACTTGTTACTCTTCTTGAGAAGACTTGGTTTCAACAAACTTTTTTTTTATATATTTTTATTACTAATACTATTTCACGTTCTAAACATAATAAAGTATCTGCCGATGTTCCGAGAGCACTACTACGCTGCTATTAATTTAGAGATTGTATGGGATATCGGTGACGCAGTTGTATAATATTATTTTGTTTGCAGAGTCCGTTGGATCGTAAAGCGATAAGAGAGAAAAAGATGCACGGAGCCGCCCGCTCCTTCGCGGAAGAGTTTTTGCGCCACTGATTCCTGGAATGGCGGTGGGCTTTTTTCGCGCCAAACTCTTATTACAATGAGATGATACGCATGCTATTATCGAACGGTTCCCGAAACAGCAATCATTATTATTATTATCAGTCAAATAAAATCTTTCTTTTCTTCTTTGATTTATGTCACTTTTTATTTAATTCAGGTATTTAAACATCTTTTAAGAAATGTAAATTAATCTTGGTATCTATAGTTCACGTCCTCATGTTAATATTTTTTAACGTTTTAAAATATTATTTTGTTATTTTACTCTAATTCAAATACTTTTTTCTAACTTACAGATTGTTTCATAGTCTATGGATTGTCACAAACATTTATAAACTAAACAAGCTTTTGTCTGCGACTCCGTCCGCGTGTTATTAAAAAAGTAAGTAGCCTGTGTGTTCTTCAAGACTATGCTCTATATCTGTGCCAATTTTCATCCAGATCCGTTCGTCCCTTTAGGCTACAAAGTCTATTCTTTCATCCATCCATCCAAACTTTCGCATTTATAATATTAGTAAGATGGAAACATTAACATTGGGTACAAGTCTGAATTAATATATTGGTTCACTTCATTGAAGCAACCGCGCATTAGACACAATTATTGGAAGTGGGAAATCTCGACATTGTTCATCCGGTCGGAAATAGGTTAATAACGTACAGAATATTCATGTATAAAATTATTATTCATTCGATTCAATGAGCAAATAATGTGTTGTGACAAGATTATCATACCGATGAGTTAAGCAAAGCAAGAGACTCCGCAGATTATTGATTTTTTATCGTCTATAATTTAATCGGACACTTTCAGTAGAACACCGATGGAGGTTCGCACATTACACTTATGATTTATAGGATTTTGGTTTCATAGCTTGACCTAACTACATTATCGTAGTCCGCGGGGGTTACAAATCTGATAAAAATTAATAACGTCTCCTTATTTGTAGAAAACGGTTATTTGGATTGTGTGAAAGGTGACATGATCAAGAAGGGAGTGATGACTGAGATGACGGATGATAGAGTTATTTGGAGTACGAAAACTTCGGGAAATTATTATGATATTTATAGAAAACCGTGATAATAATGTATTTGTTCCGACAATGGAAACACACGGGGAATAAACTAAAACTGGAAATTGGTGACCAAACATTATCTTTAAATAACATATTTGTCGAATGAATCACTTGATTATTTCTACTTGTTATGTTTTTGGTTGTTAACTTGATAGTTCTGTATTTTCCTATGAGTCTTATGGCAATTGTTGCCAGCGCCCTACGTAATCGTTCAACTTTGGTTCCGGATCGGTGTCATTGACCTACCACCGTCTGAAATAGATACGCCCTCATAATATAACGCCGGCCCTCTTTAATACATTAAGTATGTTATCTTTGCTAAATTACCTTTATCCTATAAGAATCAAATGTATTGTATTATACGCGTAGGAAGAAAATATATGGAGATGACTCAAATAAAAAATTTTAGTTGTAAAAACATTAATTAATAATTGTAGGTTATGAGAATATAGTAAATAATAGTTTCTTATGTCATTAAGTAACTAAGATAAAAAACAAGTGAAAATCATTAACGTTAATTTACGTCAGTGAAAAAAATGTTATTCAGGTAATTCTATGTATCAATTAGGTCATAGCTATACAATGCAGTTTCCCTAGATTTGTTGTAGAGATGTTCTCATTTTAGTTATCATCTTACAAATTTTATTCAAAATATTACGAGTAGTCCCTTAACATATAGGTGTCAGACGTTGGTATTTGATAGCTAAATGTAATTGGAAGTAGAGTGGCGAAATTCCCTCAGCATCGACACTTGCGAGCGAACGGACCTCGACCAAACTAATTCATCAATTAACCCTCGCCCGAGACGATGGACTGTGGCTAACCAAGAGCCGCGTATTCTCGTACATCGGCTCCGGCCGTCGTACCCCGGCTACAACGCGGTCGTGGAGTTCCGCTAGTAGGTGGGTCGCTTGATCTCTCCCGCGGTATTGCAATGCACATCCGGGGCGGTCGATACGGGCGCCGACTTGCGCGGTGCCGTTTCCCCGCGCCCGCCGACATCCCACGCCCGCCCCTCGCGTCTTGAAAACCCCTGAGAAACGGTGCTCACATCGATTTGTTCGCTTGATAATTATTTAGCGCGCTTGCGAAAATATATCATCCCGTAGTAAGAAAACGCTTGTAAGAAAACGCTCTACTTAAAGGAGTGGCCGCACTAACAAGTCGGCATTTGCTTGTAACTATACACTAATGAGCACACATAAACACCGTGTTACAAGATGCTAATTAGAATATCAAGGAATATAAGATAAGTTCTAGATTGAACCTAGTAACTAGAACATAATCTTTTAAACTATGTTACTGCTACTATCTTTTGAACTATGACATACTGTAATTATGTAGTCATGTTTTAATAATGTCACTGATAGAGAAAAACTATACGTCTTTACTTCATGTTTCTGCTAATATTTTAAGGCCAGAAGTTTCGAAAATTACCCGGAATAAACGCGGCTTGCGAACAAACAGACAGACAATAAATTTTTTAAATGCGATTTTCGTAATTAGCAACGCAAATACATCATCTTCCCGAAACCTGAAATTTTTCTGTTGATATTACAAACAAACACCCCAATTTTGAAAATATTATGCGTATAGATTAAGTAACCGACACATAATCTTTGCTTGTCAATATCTTTGAAATAAATTTGTTTAGAAAGTTATATATGGTTAGAAAAGTATATAAAAATAAAAATTGTACAGAGAAAAAATTACACACGCAAGAAAATTTATTTTATTCATATGCGGGAAAAATCATGCAACGCTAGAGCAGAGCACTACTGTTCACATTAATCCCGCAAACCCACTTTCATGTCCACTTTCCTCGTAAACCACTAGAGCGCAGAGAAACAGTAAACCACTTGTAGGGATTTTAAAAAATAAAATCATTGCGTTTCGTTTCAACTTTGACATACACTGAGCATTTCAGATGTTTTGTAAAACTTAATCCCTTACTGGGAAATACCTAATTTCTATGAATATGTATATCGTATTAAGCACAAATTTATATTAATTTAAAAAAGGTTATGGATCCACAATTTCTAATACAATCACTATTTGAAATTATAATTGTTAACAATTATTTTTAAACCATAATTTACCTAATAGATGTCATTAATAAAATGGTCTATATTAAAAATGATATAAAAGGGCAATAAATGAATGCATGAGTAATTCACTATTTTGTGTCTGTGACGACTGGCACATTTACAATGTTGATCTAGTCCGTGTAGGTTCCGTTAATCTGCTCGGAGGGTGCGATTTCTAAAAAAAAAGTTTCTCAAAAGCATTACACCAATAATCACTACGAAGTATTCAATGATCGATGTTGCCATATAAAAATAAAAAATAAATCGGGCAAACAATTTAATTAGAGAAATTAAGATGAAATTTTTTTCATCCTAACAAATGTTTACATTTTATTTATTTATTCCGAGTAATAGGATATTTCAAGACCATTACGAGTCATTGGAGTATTCGGTTATAAGTACGCGAAATCAGAAGTTTTCCATCAGTCCCGGGCGCGGAGTAGCTGGGCTAATTTTAGCCAATGCAGTGTAGACGGAAAATCGATTACTTTGTCTTGAAATTAACGCGTAGTATAGCAACATATTAAACGCAGACTTGAAACGTTGTTGAAATTCATCTCTTAGCTCAATCACAATACAGATTAGATCGATAAAGTATTTTTGTAAATAAAATTTTAACAAACTTCAATCTGTTCTTGTCTTTGGTTGGTACGTACATACCTATGTGTTTGAATTATTCAGAAAAGTAATTAGTCAGAAAATTGTTACATTTAACACATATCTATACTAATATTATAAAGAGGAAAGATTTGGATCTTTGGATTTTTATATGTATTTAATTCATGTAAAATATACTGGGCCGATTAACAAAATTTCTTCAACCGTTAAAAAAGTATTTCATCTGTGAGTAACATAGGATATATTTTTCGTCGCGAGCAATAGCTAATTAACCTTAAAGCAATACCTGGGTGTACAATCCTTTCAAGCTTTTTTTCGTTATCCGATCACTGAGGGAGACACTTAATTTATATGTTTCTGAGTATGACAGTTAATGAAAAAGTCTTCGTTATAATATATTGAATGTTTTGAGAACGGTAATATCCCGCAGGGCGATATAAACGGTTACTTTTATTTACTTTTATAAAGACCATCAAGTAAGTGATTGGATGTTTTCAGCTAAAAGCCATTTACTATTCGATAAAATCGTTTGTATAATCCGTGTATCCGTGTATTCAGCGTATAGAAACACAAAGTGGAAACACGACGTGAGTTAATGCGATTTAACACAACGGCGCTTGATTGCGAACGGGTACGAATGAATAAAATTGACACATGAAAGAACAATAATGTTTGGAACTTTTCTAAAAAAAAATATTTAGTTGTCGGTATAATCAAATTACGTAACTATATTTTTATGGGAATCTATAGCGCTTGTGAATTCCTAGCAAGGTCAAATATCGAAATCAAATACAAGCAGTAACTTCATTTAAGTTTACTTACGTCTAATTCCAAAAAACAATAAAGTCAAATCTTCAAAGTTTATTTTATTATGTTTAATCTTACTAATATTATAAATTCGAAAGTTTAGATGGATGGATGGATGGTTGTAAGAGTATGTAGCCTAAACGGCTGAACGGATCTCGATGAAATTTGGTATAGACTTAGAGAATAGTCTGGAAGTCCTTCCACATGGGCCACTTACTTTTGCTTTTTTAAATTCCACGCGGACGAAATCGCGGGCGAAAACTAGAATGAAATAAATTAACAACATTTAAAAGTAAATTGTAAACTAGTACAATGTAGTGCAAAAGACGTATGTTACAACTTTAAAAGCCTCCTTAGAAATTACAAGCACTCTTCAGGAATTAAAGAATGCTTGAAATGTCGTGAAAAGGTTAGCGGACAGAAGCTCTTTTACACATTTTCGTTAAATACGAGACAGATATTTTTTACATATTAGGCAGACGAATTGCAACGAGATTTAATAACAGTGTAATGTTAAAAAGGACTATTCATTAAGAAAATAAGTTAACAGAC